TTTTGCGATCAGTTCTGCCTGCGCCTTAATTGTTAAATACACACACAGCTGTCAAAATGTCAATCGTGCGGAGTATCTCATGTAAAGTCGGTTATGGCTTAAGTGAACGTAAACATGTGGGTGAAAACCAGATGTGTGTCAGTATATTATATTCATTATATTCGGTCTTAAAAGGACAGCAGCCTAATTAAATACATGTCTGTCTCATTAATGTTAATCAAACAACAAAAGACGTTAAATAAATTATACCTGTTACACCTACTGTATTAGAAAAACAAGTTTATTTAATATTTAATGTGTATCTATTGTATTTTTCTTATGGTTTGTAATTTGCTTTATTTTTATATAAAACAATGTACGTGTGTGTATATATAAATTTAGATATCATGAAATAAAATTTCTCTTCTGTCAGGGATTCTGTTCCTCGAGAGCATGTCCGCTTTGCGATTTAGGAGATTTAGGAGAGTGCACGTCGCCTTGGTGATTTATCTACAAAACCACAGACATGTTGTCAGAGCGAATCAGCACATGTCAAGCCCGTAGTGCTAAGGACACCGCCTTCAGTTCCAAGTGGTTTATGTGCCACCTGCTTTGAGACTCTGACCACAGGCCCGAAGTCGGCATGCCCTCGCACACTGCTCCCCAGCCTGAAGTTGACGCATCTGTCGTGATCACAGTGCGAGCTGTCACTAGTCCAAGGGGCACCCCCCTGCTGAACATTTACGGGTCACACCACCATCTCAGAGCACTGACACAGCTGTGTGTGACCTCAATGCGCTTACTGAATGAATGAATGAAGAATTTATATAGCACTTTTTTGTGTATTACTGTACACCCAAAGCTCTTTACAATCATATGAGGGGGTCTCTCCTCATCCACCACCAGTGTGCAGCATCCACCTGGATGATGCGACGGCAGCCACAGTACAACGGCGCCAGTGCGCTCACCACACACCAGCTATAGGCTATACGCCCCATGGTCCATGCTCTCCACGGGACTCAAGCTTTCAGCCACGAGTGTAGCGATCATGTGCAGAAGACCCAAGTGACAAACTGATGACGCCAACGCCATAAGTCCTAGGAGCCTCTGGAATTTCCTCAAGGGAACAGACTGGCCTGGTCTGAAGTGGCGTAGAGCTGAATAGAAGATCTCTAGGTACTTTCAAATGAGCCTCACATCTCCACCATGTCTAAACACACACCCAGATATGTTTTAGACTGACTCGGGGTGAACATGCTCTTTTGCATATTCACACACAGCCCTAGGGACTCTAAATGGCGAAGCAACTTGTCCGCATGACTGATAAGCACATCTCTTGAATGGGCTAAATTCAGCCAATCGTCCAGATAATTTAGAATGTGCATACCACTTGCTCTGAGAGGGGAAAGTGCTGCATCCATGCACTTCGAGAATGTGCACGGGGCTAAAGCCAGCCCGAATGGGAGAACTGAATCCTGGTACACTGTGAGTTTGCGAACCTCAGGAAGCGCCTCTGAATATGGAAATATGCATCCTTCAGATTTATGGATGCAAACCAGTCCCAGGGACGGATTTGTACCAGGATCTGCATCAGAGTCGTCATCTTGAACGCATGCTTGTGAAGTGCTGTGTTGATGTGTCTCAGGTCCAGGATCGGACTGACCCCCCTATCTCTCTTGGCACCATAAAGTAGCAGCTGTAAAACCCACTCTTCAGCTCGCTCGGATGGGCTCATTACATTTCTCCTTTCGAGAGCAGGCTGTGAATCTCTTGTCTCAAAACAGGGGCATTTTGAGGCAATGCCAGTGACGGGGTCACGCCGTTGAAACGGGGTGTTCTTCGTCTGAACTGGAGAGAACACCCATGTTCTATTATGCCCAGCAGCCAGTGCAAAACGCCTGGAATAGCTCTCCACACGTCTAAAAACTGACATAACAGCCGCATCTCTCCAGTCACTATTGCTGGCAGGGATGTTTGTATACTGGTGCCTCGCCCACGCACTGGTGGGGAAGCGGCTTGTGGAGGATAACACCAGGAGGCCATAACAGGCACAGACAGCAGCTCTACACTGCTCTGAGGCAGGGCGAGTAACGCTGTATCGATAGGATGAGGAAACAACTCTTTTTGAGAGAGCACTTGTGTTTTTATTGCGCAAACAGAAACATGAACTTTGCATTTTTTCGCTTGCAGGAGCAAGGGGAACATAATGCAGGATCCGGTGCTTGGGGGCTGAGCTCTGGGGGGTGAATAAAGGCCTCCTGTAGCGAATCCATGTGTTTTTGTAAGATAAATATCCTTATTTCAAATGTAATAAACACTTTTTTCTCACTTCCAGTATTCTGTCATATGCGGAAGGCGTCCTACATCATCTGTCTGCATGTCCTACCAGTCTTACCATGTACCAGTTAGCGGAAGTGAGAAAAATGTGTTTATTACATTTGAAATATGGATATTTATCTTACAAAAACACATAGATTCACTACAGGAGGCCTTTATTCACCCCCCGGAGCCGTGTGAGGGACATTTAATTATGGATGCGTGCACTTTATTTCACATCTTCTGAACTGTTGACAACCACACACCCTCATTGAAAGGCTTGGAGGGGCCAGGACAATTTTTAATATAACTCCGATTGGATTCGCCTGAAAGAAGAAAGTCACATACACCTAGGATGCTTCGAGGGTAAGTAAAACACAGGCTAATTTTCATTTGTGGGTGAACTAACCCTTTAAGGAGTGTCTTACTGTAAGTCTACAAGGCTTAGAAGGCAGGCTGATGTCCGAGCCAAGAGTGGCCGAGGAAGGGCACAGATGTGTTGACGGACTCCTCGATGGAGGCTATACACACGTAACCGTGGGCCTCCGTTCCGTCCATCAAAGTACCGTGAGAGTGATCCGAAAGCATAAGGAGCCATCTGCTCTATTGCTCCCACGGAACTTTAATGTGATAACGATCGGTCTGCTCAACACTGCTTCAATTCGAACACACCTCTTATAATGTTAGAGCCATGCTCAGAGGCTCCATTGCGTTATCTGGACATGATTTCAGCCCCGCCCTAAACATCCTGAACACAAAAATGGTGAAAAACTGTTTAACGATCGTACTCCACAATTCAGTACTACATAGTTCACAGTCTTTGTAACGTGTTTTCAGTAATACATTTCTAACATTTAGAATGTGTTTAGAAACAATTCTCTGAATTGCCTGAACACGGACTTTAATAGTTATAAAGTATGCTCCATATTCTATATGCAAATATGCAATTTCTTGTTTATTTTATTATGGGGTGATATGTACATTTCATACAATCCCATTCAATATAAATTAGTTTGAGTTAAAAATAAAACAGGGTTAAGAACAAATTCATGTGCGTACGCACCTGTTGTGAATATTTGTGTAAGTGCGAATAATGCACACATTTATGAGTGAATTATTTTTTTCTTTATTTTCCATGCTGGTGCATCAGCATCATATCAGGAAGGGTCTCCCTGCCCTCACCGTGGATATTTGATATGAGTGAAGAAGATCCTGCTCTCATTCTGGAACACAAAGCAATCAATGGCTTCTTAAAGAATCCCTGGCGCTCTCTAAGATACACTTAACCCGAGATATCTTTGTTTTCACCATAAGGAATCAACACAACATGAGAGTGGGCTGTCAAATATGAAGTAATGTCTGGCAGAATCTTAAAATAGCTGGTCTGTGGAAGGCTGCTGGGGTTGAGGAGGGATTTCTCCTCATGTGGGAGTTTCTCTGCAGCATTTCCTCTGTGTACACCCCCGGCTGGATCTTCTGCAGCAGAGACACTCAAGTGATTAAAATATGTTGCAGACACCAATGTGAAGGGAATGGCTATAGGCTTCTTCTGACGCAATGTTTATTCTCAGAGTAAACAGCTGCAGAAATGCCCATGGTGTTACATTCTGGAGGAGCCTGAAGGCTTTTAAAAAGGCTAAACAGGAATACAGAGATGGAAGAGAGAATTTTGAATTGTACACATGGGTGTGAGGTTATAATCTAAATTGGTGTGCTGTGGATTGCATCAAAATATTATTTTTGTAGGTCTACTTAAACAGACATGAGGTAAATTACCTTGCATCTAACACGAAGTGTGATGACACGAAGAAAAATCATTTAGCTTCATAAATTACATAGATACTGATACAAATTGAAGAATAGTAGCCTACACAATATCAGAAGTGCATTGTGAGTTTCTGCTTATGTACTGCGAGCGGTTAATGGAAAACCAGGAGTGGATCTAGTGACAAAACGCTTTGAAGGAAGGAATATTCCAGGTTCGGATTCCACTCACAACCATCAGGCTACTGTAAACAGTTAGAGATGATAACAAAAAAAGCCATTTGGAAATTCTACTATAATTTAGAACCAGCAGTAGAATGTCAGATACAAGGTGCAATAAATAATTACTTATTATTAATGAGCATAATAAACCATTCTTCATCAATATTGGCTGGTTAATTAAGCATAGCTAAATTATGTTTACAGTTGCCAATTAGCTTAGCAACGTTTTTCCCTATTACTTTTTTTCTTATTATTTATACTGTTTTAAATACAATTGTATTTGTATTTACAGAATGTTTTAATTTTAGGTGTGCTTTTTAAAAATGTTATATATATAAATATATATATATATATATAAAGCAGCATTTACCTAATTGCAACCAAAATACAACTGTGAAAAGTAGTAAAAACGTTTTGTGTTTGATGTCTATTCAAAGCTCATCAAATTAGAAAGTCTCGGTAATTAAATTATGTCAAAATTGGCGTTTTCAAATCCTAGTAAATAGTGTCACACAAATATAATTCTGGTGATAGTTTATTGAGTCAGGCTGCTATGAAGCGGCGCTAATGATGAGAGGACAGAGACGCAGCTCTCCTCATTACTGTAGAAGTAAAAGAGGACAGTGATATTTCAGACAGAATAAGGGAGGAGATTTGCCGACGGCTCTCCTATTGGTTTAGTACAACCGTGATGGCACTGAGGAGACGGCTTTATTCTTTATAAAGCTCCCTGAGAGTGAGGAGACCACTGTGAACTCCTTACAGCTGAAGTGCGCTGAGGAAATCCCGTGAGATAACACTGAACCATGAGTGAGGTAAGTGCACCTCTAGCTTTACCGTATCCAGATGAGATTTAACGCAGATCTTTGCAACAGATGTTGATTATATAATATGCATAATAGCTTTCGGCATCTTAATTTCTTTTGGGTGCTGCAGTGTGTTTCTGTGAGTCCTCGCTTAGAGTGTTTGATTCACTTTAGCCTTCTTTTTTTTTTTTTTACGTAAAATAACTTATTTAATTTCACTTAATTTGGGGATGACTTCTGAAGATGATTACATATATGAATATACTTTTTATTGACGTCATCATATTATACTTAAACAAATGTCCACTATCTATCTATCTATCTATCTATCTATCTATCTATCTATCTATCTATCTATCTATCTATCTATCTATCTATCTATCATAAATATAGAGAAACTGGGGTTATAGATCTCTTACTTTTGTTTTGGAATCTCCATTTCTGTATAAACATAATTGTAAGCTTTAGCTATATAAAGGCATTGAATATTTCCACTGTTATTGCCCTGGAGAAAGTGATATAGTTCATTAAACACACAGTGACCTTTTACAACACCATCACTCAGTAGCAGGGCAAGTTATAGCAATTGGAACATTCCCTTAAATGGCATATTGTATAGGCAGTTCAGTAAAATCTGGACAGTAACCTAAATAACGAAGCAGAAAAGAATGAATCAGCAGCAAAAATGGAACATGCAAAAACATCAAAACATTTTTTTGACCAACAGATGTCACAACTAATCAAGCGATTAATTCATAAAATCACAACTTTTACAAACATGTGACAACTTGCCCCCATGTGCCATTTATAAAAATACCCTGAGAACACAACTCAACCTTTTGTTAATAATTCATGCATGCCAGTGTGGTTTTTAACACTGTAAATGTGTTTTTTTTTTTTAAATAAATATATTTTGCTACTGTTGTTGCATTTTTTAATGTTTACATTTGAAACTATAGCCTTCGTGAACTAATAGCCTATTAGCAGCTTTAATTTGATGATTAAATACATTCTCTTTCCACATATTGCAGTCTACACTCTTAAAAATAAAGGTGCTTCACGATGCCATAGAAGAACCTTTTTGTCTAAATGGTTCCATAAAGAACCTTTAACATCGGAAGAACCTTTCTGTTTCACAAAAGGTTCTTTGGGGCGAAAGAAGGTTCTTCAGATTATAAAAAGGTAAGAAAGAGATGGTTCTTTAAAGAACCTTTGACTGAATGGTTCTTTGTGGAACCAAAAATGGTTCTTCTATGGCATCGCTGTGAAGAACCTTTTGAAGCACCTTAATTTTTAAGAGTGTACCTCAATTTGCGGATTGCTGGTCTGTTCTGTGTTGCAGACAGCATGGAAAAAATAAAGCTAAAAGCAAGTAATAAAATCGTCCGTATGTTGCGATACAAATAATTGCTACACAGAATACATAGCTTTTATTTCATGTATATGCATTTCAGTTGGCAAACCCTGATCTGTTTCATTAGGACATCTCTTATCCATTTCAGAATACCTGCTGGACATGAGCAGAGTGTCCAGTTACCTTTTTCTGGACTTTTGCCTTTGGTTATTGAGATTTGCATCCATCAAGAGGGCTGAAAGCATGTAGTTTGCGTGCTTGTTGTGTTGAGTACAGCATAATCTCAAGTGATTCTCTCTCAGTAAATAGTTAATACATTTCTAGAGAGGAAGTGCTAATTAACTTCAAAGCCATCTAGAAGTGGTGCAGTTGTGACATCTTTCTCCAGCAACATGCGTTTTCTTGATGCTATTTTCTGTGACCTGCAGTGCTTTTAAACATGATTTAACATAGGCCAAATTTAACATAGAGAGGGATGCTAATTATGAGAGGAAATTAGCATAAACTCAACCCTGATTTAAGCAGTCAGGTCATTACGATGCGTTCAGATGCTTCAAAGTATTAGAGTGTTTAATATCTAAAGAAAAAGTCCAATTACTGTGAGAGTTGTGATCAAGCACCATATGTCACATCTTCTCATTAACTTTCATTCTGCCTTTTCTTGTAGAAAATTTAGTAGCAGAAAGCTTGTTTATTTATTTTCCAAATATTTTTTGTAATAACGTTTCTCTCAGACACTGTACGGAACGCCTCTGCCTCTAAAAGGAAGATAAAAACATTATCTTACTCTCTCAATAGAACATTATAAACCATTATTAACAGTTTAATAACAGTTGAAAGGAGGAAAATATAATATTACCTATAAACATACAGCTTTTTAGGCATTGTTTTAATTTACTGTATTGTGGCCTTTCTAAAATAACTACATAATACTTAACAATAGTTAACAGATGGATTTAATACAGGTAATGTTAATATAATAAAAACCACAACAATGACAGCAATGTGACAATATGAAAACCTGTAATAGACATAATGGTAATGCACAGTTTTGGAAGTGAAAAAGAACAAATAATCTTATAATTTACTGTAAAAAATAAAACAATAATAATAATAATAATATAAATAAATCGACAATCCCAGAATGCCCTGTGTGACACTTTACATTTTTTAATTAAGTACAGTTTTGTTAAAGTAGATTAGGGTTTTATGTTACATTTTATGTCGTTAAATAATATTAATTGCATTATTTTATTGTCATGTGTGTTATGATGCTTATGATAATATTTCTTTACAGTTAAATTTTGGCTACCACATCTACTGTTTTTTTCCCCATAATTGTTTTTTTTTTAAATAATGTATATCATTTTTGATACTATGTAAATTATGTCAGTTTATCAGCACGCACACATAAGTTAGTTTTAATAAACTGGAATAAAATGGAAGTCATAGGGCTCTGTGAATCATCACATGAGCAGAGCTGGAAAGCACAGATTGGGGTTAGATCAAGAGCCACACAGCACATTTAATCTGATTTTGACAACTCTTGAAAAACTGCCCACATTACTCATTTCAAACTGTTCTCCTCGTTTCTCATCTAATTCATCTCTGACCTCTCCACACATCAATTCTCTCACACTGGATTGCTTTATGACACTCAAAAGGCCTACTACATTTCTCGAAGAAGCACAACGGGATGTCAGAAATCTGATTGGACATGTGCTGCCATGAGCAAGAATGTGCCGTTGCATCCAATCTCCCCGCATTTGCCACCAACTGTCTTTGTCCCTTTCAACCGTCTGATGTGTTCTCATTCTGCCTGTCTTTAGTGAATATGGAAGCCGGCTTTCATAATACACTTGACAAGCATTTGTGCACTTCACAACAATTGTGATGTTTACTAATGTTTGACTAATGGTACTAAAAGGAGATGAAATAATAGCTAGTTGTGAAGAATAAGATATAAAATATCTTAGCTTAAATCTAATAGTTATTATCGTATACATGTACAGTATAAAATCAAATCTAAATGTTTATATTTATATTTATATAAAGGAATTATTTGACTGTGATGTGACTTGTTTGAATAAAAGAATGAGAATAATAATAGTATGAAACATGAGAATGATAATAAACATAAAAATACAAAAAAAAAACTGTGTTAAAAACAAATGAAACTGGAACATGAATTACATAAGACTAAAAAAAAAGACTAACACAGACAGGAGACTTTGCTTTCTTGTTTCAGAAGTTCACCTCATGTCACTCTAGTGAAGGATTTACTTTTTTTGCCAATTACAAGTTAAGAAATCACTGTTATTCCGTTTATTTCCTCTTTTCGTAAATCTCCAAAGCATAAGCTGTTTCTTTGAACAGTTGCAAATGAAGTAGTCCAACTGCTAGGCAAAGCCGCAGAACATTTTTAGTTTGGCCGAAGGCATCAACACATCAGCATATTAAGAAGCTTAAGCAAACCGTTTTGTTATCCAAGCTGGATTATGTGAACTTTGCAGTATCCTTCTTATAGCTCTGCATGTTTGGTGGTGCGTGTGAAGGCAATCGTCACTATAGCTATTGCCCACACTGAGGGTTAGGGATTCGTGCAAACCCTTAACCCCAAGTATTAAAATTCCTGGAACATCTGTACTATGCACATGAATGATGCTTCAAATCATGTGGCTTGTTGAGGAAATATGTGCTATGACTTTATTGTAACGACATAGCAACATACTAATAACTAGGGATGCACCGATACCACTTTTTTCAGTACTCGCCCGATACCGATACTTTTATTTTTGGTACTTGCCGACACCGAGTGCCGATACCGATATTTTTATTGCATTTGTAAATTTTTTAAATATTGGGTACAGAAACCAAAAGAGTATGTATAATGTTAGTTGGTTAACTTCATTTATCAAATAGATAGTCAAACCAAAATTTATTCAGACACCTTCAACATTTCTCACATTATCACAGTTTGTTCGCTATAGTATAAAAAATGGTAATAAAATATGACAAGAACTCAGAGTTACACTGTGTCAGAACAAATTCATCTTGATAATGTTAGATAATTTTGATAGAAAGGTATGTAATAGATTACAATCAACCAAAATAATTCAGACAGCTGTTAGTATGACAGTATTTACACAACTATGAATACTTTGTCGGGCAACCCTTAGCCTCAATGACAGCCTGTAGTCTCCTGGGCATGCTGTCATCCAGCTTCATGAAAACCTCAACTTCAGTTTTTTCCCCAGACTCGGTCTGAATAATTTTTGGACCCAAATTTGTATCGATTTTACTGGTAGTCCACTGTATGAATAATTTTTTGGTATGATTTGTCACAGTTTACTTTATTTTGCTATCCTCACTTAAATAAATGAACTATAGTGTCCTGCACCCACTAGTAAAAAAATATCCAAAATTATATCTGGTCTCTGAATAATTTTTGGTTTCACTGTATATCCTTCGGTTATTTTCACACTTAATTATGCCCATTAAAAAGTTTTTGTTACTTTCACTGTTCCTTTTTTTGCTCTATGGTACATCATCTTTAATTTAATAGCATTAGAGCTGCTCCACTGCTGTGTGAGTACTGTAATCACGCGCTTTGCTGTAATAATGCATGGAACCACTCGTTATTGTCAGGGTCTGG